GTTACTTATAATTCTAACTCTACCTAGTATAATACTATAGGTTTTATTAACGCTCTCTATAAGGTAAGAGACTTTTATATAGTATACCTAGATAAGCTAGAGCTGCTATTATAATTAGATGCTTAGATTAAAGCGTACAAAAAAGAGGAGACTCTAGAGAAGATAGTAGAGAATTTAAAACCTGCAAGAGTAGAAGATATAAGAGTAATATAAAGATGCCGCTAAGAAGAAAGCCTATAACAAGGCCGCTCTATAGACGCGAAAATAAGCCTTCTGTAACGGTTCGACTCGGCTTCGACTTAGTGCTTTGGTAACTCGGCTCCGCCCAAGTTACATAACCCTGCCTAGCGCCTTGGCATAGGCACCCTGTGTATATAGAGAGCTCTCGAAGCATTCTTCTACTCCTTACCTTTAGATAGCTGAATTTAACCTAACCTACCCTGCTAGCACTCTATTCTTACAGCTCGTGGAGACAGTGCTGCCTGCAGCTAACTTACCTAGCTAGGTGTTCCAGGACGCTTACAGCAGTAGAGACCGCGAACCTAGCTCTTACACCTTCTAGCTTAAATCTCTACAAGAATAGAGCGACTAGAAGAAAGGTAGTAGCTGTAAAGGCGCTTCTAGTTTAAAACTAACACGAATACGCTTACTATAAGCTAAAAGAGATAGTTAAGAGTATAATGTAGAAGTTTTAGAAGAAGAAGAACCTAGAAGGCGTATTTTAGAGCTTAGAGATAAGCTCTTTCTATAAGAGAGAGTAATATAATAGTCTAGTTTAGAATTTACCTTAGGTTATATAACCTTACGTTACGTAATAGAGTTACGTAACCTAGCCTAGCGCCTTAGCGCTTAGCATCTCTATATATAGAGCCTCTTAGAGTATTCTTCTACTTCTTACCTTTAGATAGCTAAATTTAACCTAACCTACTCTACTAGCATCTCTTATTCTTATAGCTTATAGAGATAGTGCTACCTATAGCTAACTTACCTAGCTAGGTATTCTAGAGGCGCTTATAGTAGTAGAGACTATAAACCTAGTCTTTATAATTTAAGCTATTTAGACTAGCTAAATTTAAAGTAAGTAACGTACTATAGTAATCTACTATATTCTCTTATTATTATTATAAATATAATATACTAGAATAATACTATAATATAAAAAGATATCTAATTTAGTAAAACTTATAAAGAATAAAAAGTAGATAATAGTTAAGTATATACTTAATCTAGATACGTAAGAATTTACCTTTTAGCTTACTACTATTTAAGATATAGCTAATAAGCTACTTACTTAGTAAAAGAAAAAGGTTATAGATAAAAACTAGCTAAATAACTTTATTAAGTACTATTTTAAGCTTAAAACGTAGCTTAATTATAGGTATAACTATTAGAGAGTAAAGTAAGAAAATTCTATAATTATTTAGATATAGTTTAATCTAATAGATAATATAAAGATAAAGTATAGTATTACTAATAAAAATATATATAATTTTAATAAATCTAGCTTTATAATAGAAATAATATTATCTTAGATAGTAGTTACTAGCTCTAAAAGATAATTATAACTAAAAAGTTTTTATCTAGATAATTATAAGTAGATTTTAGTAATTATAATAGTAAGAGTAGTAGATAATATATAGATTTTACTATTTTTTATTATTATAGATAAGAACTATCTCTTAGTATAGTATAAAGATAGCTAGCTACTATATAACTAGATTATAGCTATTTCTAAAAGTAACTAGATAATAAATAAAGTTAGTATTATATAGTTAAAGTACTTTAATATATATACTAAAAGTTATATTATAGATATATATTATCTACTAATTTTAGATAGCTATAAAAGCTATAGCTCTATTAAATTCTAGTAGTACTATAAGAAGAATAAAATTATAGCTTTTTATATACTAGTATATTTATTATATCTTTTATAACTACTTAATATTAGCTACTTTTTACTATTAAAGATAGTATATAGCTACTAAGTTAAGATTCTAATATATAGCTATATTAACTATATTATAAAAACTAAGTTTTTATTTATATTTTATATAGCTTTTTATATATTAGTTATAGATAATAATATTAGAGTAGAATTTAAAGATACTAGCTTAGTTTTATTTAATCTAGATTTAGTAGTATTAAAGCTTAAAGTTTAATTATATACGCTAATACTTTCTACTAATAATACTACTATCTAGAAGTATAAAATATCTAGTAATCTTATTAAAGTAAAATTCTAATTAATTTTAATTTAATTAAAGATTATATAGTATTTTAATTTATTACTTATTTATATTATTAAGTTACTTAATTAGCTTAAGAAAAGTAATAAGCTAATAGTATATTAGCTAGTACTTATAGAGTCTAAAGTTACCTAGCTTTAAGTAGCTAATATATAGAAAAAAAAAATATAATTTATATAAAAAAAAAGTATAATTTATATAAAAAAAGTATAATTTATATAAAAAAAAATATAATTTATATAAAAAAAAATATAATTTATATAAAAAAAAATTTAATTTATATAAAAAAAAATTTAAATTTAGAAAGAGAATACTCTTATAATTAAAGCTAGCTTATAGCTAGTTACTTAAAAAAAGACTATAGATTAGAATAAAAGTAAGAAGTAGTATAAAAAGGTAGTAGTATATAATAGCTAGCTAGCTTAGTAATACTATAGATACTATAGTAAGCTAGAGTATAATATATAAATATACTAGATAGTTAAAGATAATATAGATAAGTTAGATAGCTTATCTAGATTTATCTTAAGTAGCTTAGAGTTAAAGTAATCTAACTAAGATAGTAGCTTTTTAGTAGAGGCTTAGTATTTTTAGGCAGTTTAATAATATAGGTAGTTTAATAATAAAGTACGTTAAAGTACGTTAGATAAACTACTATCTTCTATAATAATCTATAGATATTCTCTATTAATATAAAAGAAGTTAGACTACTTTCTAACTAAGCTAGAATATACTAATACTTACCTAAGATAGATCTAATAGAAAGCTAAAACTAGAAGAATTAATATTAAATAGTTTTCTATAAATTAGATGCCTACTAATAGGTCTTATAAATATTCTTCTCTAGTTAAAACACTTGCATATTGTTTGGCAACTAGGCCTCGAAGATATTAGACTAACTAACTATCTGCACTAACATGGTAGACTTGCTAGAGAACTGTTCTAGGTGGTGGATAGTACTACTCCGTTCGATTCGTGCATATATCGCTATCCTTTCCTTTCGGGCACGATTCACGGTGTCTAGGAAAGTTACTCTTGACTCTTGCAAGACAATCGCGGTGGCCTTCGGTAAGATCTGAGGATGAATTCGTTGATCGTAAACTGCTGCAGTAGAGGCCAAGCAGAAGAGTTATCTAATTCATATCTACATGCCATCCACCACGAGGGGGAGAATGCCCACTCTGCCTTTAGACATGTTGTCTAAGTACTATCCCACAAACCAGCAGTTGTTCATGTTTAGGTTGGGACACACCGGTACAACCCCTGTTCCTACCCGAGACAAAGACGCTCAAGGTGAAAGCGCAGCGACGAGCGAAGTCGCTTACTAACCCAAGCCTAGTAGGAATAATTAACGACGATATCACGTTCATTTCCGCAGTCTGAAGATAGCCTAGATCTCGTACATGAAGTTGGACATTGTCGGGAATCAGAGTCCAATCAGCAACGACATCACGGACAGAGTGATAGAGATCGAGGCCATTATGTGCACAAGGCCAGTCAGTGACGAGGTCAGGAATACAAGTGGAAGACGCCGAAGAACTCTCTAATCGACCTCTCGGGCAAGAACGCAATTAGGATCTAAGCATCATCACATCCGACACTCCAAACGCCGACGAGGTACGTAATACGCCAGGCACGTTGCATCTACTCGATGAGGACGTACTTACGTTGGGATTTATGCCCATGTCCACACACAGGTCGTCGGTAGACTCTAGGCCTATAGTCGTGAATGCTAACCTTCGCATACAGTCGGACCCGTGCTCGCTTCTGGTCCTGTCCATAATCGCGGCTGCAAGATGGTGGACTTCAGTTTCTTGTTCACGCCGACATCGACGTTGTATGGGATCCGCAGAGCCCGGACCTTATCGCCACTTCACGGAGACGTCGACGGCGTGGTGATGCAGAATGTGTTGCATTCGCACGCTGGCACAATGATGAACCAGAACTTGATAGGCGACATTGTCAAGTCCATGAACGACGCATGAGCATCCATGGGGGCGAACCTATCAACACCAACGAGGTCACCGAGGGCTCAGACAGAATCGACGAGATCCTCATTATTCTAAGGTCGATCATAATGACGATAGAGAGTCTTGACAGGACGGTGAGTATGATCAACACCACGTTACATGAGCAGGAATATAAACACACTCATGCCGAAGAACTTGGCCAGAATCCAGATTCCAACGCCCTCAGAATGGGGAGCTCGCCCGCCTTCAGGATCTTGATCGCAGACACGAATCGAGAATACGTAGGAGCACGCGCTCATCTTCTTCAGGTCTGCGATCGCCTTCATCACGAAGCCGGAGCCGCCTACAAGCGCAGGTAGCAACCTTACCACGAGTCTGCATGGGTCTGACAACAGCACTATGTCCACGACCACGTCCCTCTCCACAGCGACCTCCATGACGCTGCTCATTGAGCCGCCAGCGAATGAGCGTAGGCGATATTAAGGTAGTGAGCACAAGCCTACGATGCATGAGAACGTCCTTCGCTAAGTCAAGAGCACAGGGAGAGCCGTTAGCGAGAGTCTCGAAAGGTTAAAATAGGGAACTTTATCACATTTTTGCGCTAGGATAGATGTATGGTTAAGCCGCCGAAGCCGTGCGAGAACGTTCCTGAAGAGTTAGATTTGTAGCGGAACATTGTTATCGTGTAATCTGAAGAGTATATAAGTCTAAAAACGGTATCCGTCGCGAATAAACGAGGCTTAAAGCCGTATTTATAAGCGTTGAAAGACCCGCGTATAATGTCGAAACCCCCGTGTTATTAGTGGCGAGGGTCATGTTCGAGATGCCGGCTGCAAACGGGGTTAATTCTAGATGGGTTGATGGTGGACCTATCCCTTAGCGTTTATGCTAGAGGGACTGCGCTACCACTGTTGCAAACGTTGTCAGGCAGTGCCGGTTCCGAGAGGAACGCCGTCTTTGCAGACTTGTACTTGACAGAGACTGTTGGTAGTTGCGTGCTTCATTGAGATGTGCAGGAAGATTTGGGATGTGCGCAATCCTGGTGTACTTGAGCTTCCTTTTCTGATCGTGTCCGGAGTCCTGGATGCAGTTCCCAGGATTGCGGGGAGATACTAGAACACCAGTGACATTGGGATTACTATCTACGGCAGGCCTGTAGTAGCGGGAAGGCCGGCGTTTCGCGGAAGCGCCTGAACGCTGGTAGATGGCAGGCCTTAGGATGCTGCTTGCAAGCTTTATAGTGGGCGTGTGCTCGACTATTATGTGGAGGCGCACAAGGTGTAATGGAGTGTGGAACTGGCTGTGGTTAGTTCTAGAATGAACGTATTGAGCTCGGTGCTATGTAGGAGTTCCGGGAGACGCTTAGTAGAGAATGCAGTGGGAATTGTAGTATTGTGCGTTGCATGCACTCAACGAATACAAGCTTGTGAATCTCGCACTGCGCGCTAATTGGAGTGAAACGCAGCCCAAAAGTAGTTACTGCTGAAGTAGGAAATTGAGGAATACAGCAAATTAGGGTGAGGTGTATTGTATTGAGTGTATATAGCTCCGAGAAATTGAAGAAATCTCTGAGGCGCTAGTGCCCGATTAGGAAGCTTGGCGATTGTACTCCAACAGTTACTACAGGTGCAGACTAGCGTCTGGTTCGTGGCGTTGAAGTTGGAGTGCAGACGTGAGGCTGCGCGATTAGCGCGAGCAGGACAGGCGGCGAGGTCGAGAGCCATAGGCATATGCGGCTACAGGCATCAGAGTGTCCAGGGATATTCGTGAGATGGGGTTGCTGCCATAGGAGAGGGGGTATGGGCAGTATTTGCGGATGTTGGGAGGCAGAGTGCAGTGTCGAATGTTGCCTTAACTAACGACGTGTGTGACAACGCCTGAAGTCCTCAACACTACGCCACACAGAAGGAAGCTCCTAGAGGCTGCAGAGTGGTTGCACCGCGTGCAGAGGAGCATTATGCATCCTTCGGAGCTAAACTGCAAGCGGAGCTCGTATCTGTTAGGATTAGTAGACCAAGTGCAGAGATGCTGGGTTACGTGAATTCCGTAAGCGGCTTAGCGGTAACTCTGGAACATCAACCTCAGCTCTGTCAAAACCCTGCATTATATGCAAAGAAGCCTCTAGGGATTTTAAAGCAGTTGCACTGCGTGCAGTGGAGGACTTCGCATCTGTAATATGAGACTTGCAAGCTGCAGCCTGTCTCTGTCAGGAACGGTCGGTCAAGTGTGGATATGCAGAGAGGCGCTAATTCTGCAAGTAGGTTAGCGTCGACTACCTCCGTTGCCGGCACTTGGGGTCATCAAACCCCATTCCTAAGAAGCTACTATAGGGTGCAAAGCAGATGCACTGGATGCAGAATAGTATCCTGCATCTAAGCCAACTTAGTTGCAAGCTGCAACCCGTCTGGGTTAGGATTGGTTGGTCGAGTGCGTGGTGACGCTAATTCTGCCAATGGTTTAGCGTCGCATGCCGCCCTGGAAGCCCGATTATCAACCCCCATTCCTAGGGCGCTCGCATAACGTGCAAAGTAGTTGCCTTGCGTGCGAAGGAGCATCCTGCACCCCTGTTGGCCAATTTGTAAACCTTTGTCTATCGGGGTTGGTAAATTAAGCCTGGATATGCCTGGCGACATGAATTCCGCAAGCGGCTCAGCGTCGACTTCCCCTCTATGGTTCATCCACCTCAGTTCCAACGACATCAAACATCTACACCTCCTCACGTCAAGGTTGCTTGGAAGCAGCTTGCTTTCCATTCCGCCCACAGTCCGTCAGTTTCATCAGTCACCAACTCTCATAATGGAGATTACACCTTTATCCAGCGAAGGTTTAAGCTTCCAGAGAGCTCATGCAGCCTCAGTCTCAAGCACGGTGTCTTCGTCGGTCTTAGTCAACCCGATTTTCGGTTGTGATAATGACGTTCTGTCTAGGCCAGCATTGCGATTTGACTGGTTGCTCAAGAGGTGCAATGAAGCAACACTTCATATTCTTTCTACTCCAAAGTCTATCTACACCAAATCCCGCCATCCCCTACCTAGGTCATTGCCCACATCAGCCGCTATAACACCAGTCCGAACCCTTGCGAGCCTTTCCTTGCTATCCAGTAGCTACTCGAAACCAGAAGTATCAGCAAGCTGTTCTGGAATGCGAGTTAGCACACAATGCCGCGGAAATGGGACATCCGGGAGGGCTTACCGGCGAGTCGTTGCCGCAACTGACGCTTCTGGAGTCCAGCGTATCTGCCTCTGGCCTTACACTTCTCCAGGAGAGAGAACTGCTTCCGGAGGCGGTGAAGGAGGGCTTCTGTATCATCTTCATCATCTGCATCATCGTCCAGATCCACCTCCTTCATACGCCGAGAACTGTGCGGCTTCTTTGCAGTCTTCTCATGCTCGAGGAACTCCCGCAGCGTAGGGGCGGTCTCCGAGAGATCTGTTAACCCGCCATTGCGGTTGGAGGCGTTCCTTGCACGTGGCGATTCATCCGGGCGGCGAGAAGAGGCTGGGGTGGAGGTCGCAGTGTTGGTACCAGCGCTGGCGGAGTTCAGTCGTGGAGCTGCACCAGCAACTTCGAACGTTTTCGCGTTTTCGAGAACTTCGTCGATGTGACTCCGGAGCGCTAGGAGCTGCGTATACATGCTGTCGCCGCTGGGGTTTCCATCGTCTTCGAGCTGGGCCAGCATATTCCGAGTGGGAGCAAGAGGGACACGCTCTACCGACTGAGATGCTGGAAGCGGCGTACGAACCAGGTGGGGAGGAGTCCAGGGCCGCACAAGGGGCGGATTCGTGTACGCGGTGTTTGTCGGGCCGTTTTCGAGGTCGTTCGGGATCAGGATGCCCATAGGATTCGGCTCGATAGCGCGGTTGATTGCGTCAGCTACGAGATTTGGCACGGGGAAGAGGTCCAGAAGCGTGGGAGACATGGGGAGCCCGTGAAGCTCAGTGAGGGTGGTGTCGTCCATAAGATTTGGTAAGGGGAAGAGCTCCGGAAGTGAAGCCGAATTCGGAAGCCCATGAAGCTCGTGAACAGTGGCAGGGCCAGGGCTAGGGCTAGGCGTCATGGGTGCCCTCAGGAGCTCGTACTCCATATAAGGGTCCTGTGGCATGATGTCACCAGCATTGGTGTATCCAACAGGGGTGGTGGGCGCCATCCGATGGATGGATGTGGTTGAAGTATTCTGTGGAGGAGAATGTAATTTAAGATGGACGAAATGTCACCAGGAGGTATTGGATGTTGGGCCTGTACATCCCGTATAATATTTAACATCCGTCCTTTGTCTTCGCCTAAGCGGACGCTGAGGGGCCTTAAGCGTCGAGCCAACGCCGAGCGAGACACACAATCACTAGACTCTTAGCACACGGACCAAAGCGGAGGTTGAGCACAAACGCCGCCCAACGATTCTTAGATGGGCCCAAGCAGTCACACGAAGCGGCTCTAATTTCCTAGTATGCTCGGCATACCCATCTTGGTGCTGGACGCATGCCTGACCCCGCTCGCTATGTTATTAGAGTTGCTCGTCATGGTCCCCACTCTATTCCCGGGCTACCCTCGGGCGTTTGTGCACAACATCTTTCGACCTCTAGGGCTGCAATTTCGCACTCCGAGGCCGAACCCAGGTATTCGGGACTCTTGCCATATACGAGGCCACAAACGGACTTAAGGACACCTTCTAGTGACCCAAATTTCGGCCCTTCCGTTTGCGCTGCGTTCCCTTTGCTTCATCGCGAAATGTGAGCCAAATGGAAGCACCTCAAGCTTCGGTTTCAGGTGGACAGTAACTAGGAAAGAGGTGGTAATTTCATTTACAGTTCCCCGCTCCAGGCCTCTCCATTTCATTCTTTCGTTTCGCCAACAACTCATGCTTCTGCAAACCTGTTTTAATTCGCGGATGGCTCGTCCTGTTGAGCGGCGGTTCCGCGGGCGCGGGCTCCCGTCTTGGCCAATATCAGGGCGTTTGCACCATGCCCCAACAATCACTGCATCGCAATCCCCACAACGCGCTGAATCCGCTGGGGAAAGTTGTTATGGGCCATTTGTGCTCTTCATTAATAACGATAGGTTCATTTACATAGAGGAGTATGATGAGGATCGACCCGCGCTCGCAGCGCGGGAGGCACGTGCGCAGCGGTCTGGAAGCGGTTCTCGAGTCGTCGGCAGGCTGTCCTTGGCCGTGAGCCTGGCTATCGAAAAAGCGAGCGTCGTCCACGTTGTCCAGCATGAGCAGCCACTGCTCCTTGCTACCATGCAGCCAGTCGTGCACCAGCTTGAAGATGTTGGCTCTGGGATTCAGTCGCCCGGAGATGCTGACGCAGTCGGCAATGTCGCGGTAGCTCTGCTCGAACCGGGCGGCGTTGCTGGCATGCACCCGGAACACCCACGTCTCCGGCGACCGCTCGCGCGTGCGGTAGGCATGCTCGATGGCGAGCTGCGACTTGCTTCTCTTGCCGTTAGCATGTTGCCCTAGTCAAGCTATGCGCTACCCACCCAACGCCGCCTAGGCCGGCGAGCGCATTTTTGGTGGACCTGGTCGAGTGTCGTCCCGCGCTCGGCGTCGCGTGCGAAGGGTATGACGATGGATGGATATAGCGCCTTCGCTGCTGCATTAGACGGTAATAGAGCACTGTGTATTCTTCTGCCTGTCGGTACGATCCCTGGTCAGGCCGTTCTCCCGTAGCTACACGTTCCGCCGCAGTGCTGACCATGGAAGTATTGCTCTCATAAAACGACGGGAGGACATGGGGCGCGGAACTCGGCTAAACATATCCCCGCAGTCTGGCCACGTCTGGAACGCCGCTCTTGGTGACTGCAGCTTCAGCGCCCGCTGGACTCGATTTCTCAGAGCCATCTTCCTCCCTTGCAAGGATGTCCCTTAACTACGACTCAGACGACGCTTTCCCAAGATCTCCTGCCCTCGTTCCCATCCGACCAAAAGCAACTCCTTCACCCTCCCCACCACCCCGTGTGGCGCAGCAAGTTACCGTTCCGTCGACTGCTCAGAATGACAGCCCTCCTCCCTCCGGAAGACGCAGGAAACATAATCAGCGACGCACCCGCCCAAGTCAAGGGGACTTCGTCCTTATCCGCGTTATGGACCCAAACCGACCCGACATTGCACGAGAAGTCGGCGAACGAGCATTGAACTCGGATTCTGGTTCTGAGGCCGATGACGAGGACATAGAAGAGCAATCTCAAACGGATGCTGTCGATACTAATCAAGTGACGGCTGCAAGAGGACATAGGTATGATGACCTGAGCTAGACTCGTTTGTGACGGCTAAGTTCAACACAGCATCGATGATGCCTCTTACGGTTTTCCGTCCACACTTCCTGCACACCCGTCCATATCATCGACGACGACGACTCGTCTACTTCCATTAAGTACACCAATTCAGTCATCTCACGAGCCGCAGACAGACAACGCGGCGCAAGCAAGATACCAGAAGGAGAGTTTCCCTTCTGGCGGTTCACGGGCAATGAACGATAATGAAGCTAGCTACAACGGCGACAGGAAGCTAGCGTGAATGCAGGCAGCGATACTGTGACGATGGTGTGATCGGGGATAACGGAATTGCTATATGAGAGGGGTGCTCCAGGTCTTCTTCGCCCCTCAATCACGACCTGCCCAGCGATTTTGCAAGGGCGCAGCCAAATATAGAGGGAATATCAAAACTGGGGACCAGAAACGGGCTCCACAGTGGGAACCACAAAGGGACCCGTCGAGTCAGGCACACGCACACCCACATTGGGCTCTTCGCTGCGCAGTCTGGTTACTGCAGCATTGGTCCTGTACAGTTGCTTGCAAAACTATGGAATTTTCAAAGCCCAAGACTTGGTATCTTCCTAACCGGGAATGGCTAGCTTAGCGGAGTGCGCTGGAATAGATATTTAGCAAAATGTCGACGGCCAGCCCTGTTGCTTCACGGTTAGCGCGTGCTCAGCCACGTGGCGCTGCTGAATCATCAACCAGCGCCGAGCTTTCGCAATAGCTATCGTGCCTACGTCCTCGTCCTTCAAGCGCGCCATCAACATACGGTCGATAGGCTAATGGTAGGACGCAATGCGAGTGGCCCAATCCACAAATCCCTCCAGACTACCTGCAGAAGCCTCGAAGGCAGCGGCCCTCATCTGAGCAGACCCAACCTCGACCCTGCCCGTTCTCCCGCCACATCTTTCTCGAGACCCAAACGAAGGGGCGCGCTGCGCTCACAGAGATCTCGAAAACGAGCACACCCCACAGCGCCAGGAGTGCTTTCGTCGTCCGCCATCGAACCTCGCTTTCCCGCTCTACCCCGCTCTTCGTCGTCGAAATCGGGCACACCTCATTATCGTCGAACACAAACGAGGAGAGAACTACATTAGGAAATTCTTAAGGTACATCGATAGAAGCACTTGGTTCATCGGTGACGGCAGTAGCTCCCATATCATCTGCCGCCCAACATGTTTTGGTACGTACGCATTTGCTGTCTAAGGCTAAGCTAACGTCCTTAGTCCCATGAACCCTCCCATTGAAGACTCGGTTGTCCGTACAAGGCAGAACCACTGGTTGCTTGGTTCCCTCCATGTCTGCGAGCTTGTTGTCAACGTGCCCAACGACGCCGCGGTAAGTTGGGAAGCCGATGGAAATACCTACTGTATTCGCAAATCTTCCGCAGATGAACGGGACTCGACCGTATTGGGTGATTCAGAGAGCGATCGCTTTCACCACGCGGGCACCTCAGCCGCAGTTTGGAAAATCGGAGGCACATTTGTGAAAGTCAAGGCCTGGCGGCACGGTATGCAACTGGAGAGCGACACTATCCGGTTTGTTAACAGCATATCTTCGATTCCCACACCTAAGATTGTCCTCTCCTGGGTAGATGTTGCCTGGAACCGCTCCTTTTTAGTTCTGAAAGCCTTGGAAGGACAGACGCTGGATCAGGCTTGGGGATTACTGTCTGCTGATCGACGCATGCAAATTGCAGGCACGATTGCACAATTTTGCAGAACACTAGCTTTATCAACGTCGGAAATGCTGATGACTGCAAATGGAAATGGTGTTCTAGAACCCTTCTTAACCGTCCTCCCTCCAGACTCGGAACCTTCGTGGAAGCCCCAGACTTTGGGTCCCTATTCCTCCAACCAACTACGGTCTTACCTCTCAGAATCTCCAGTCTTCGAGGGCGATACAGATTCATTCAGTTTCTACCATGCAGACCTTGGACCATCAAATATTATAGTGACAGAGGATGGGAGCATTGTTGGGATCATTGACTGGGAGTCTGCTGCATTCTATCCGACGTTCTGGCTAGGCACGAAGCCACTCGTCTCTGCTGGTTTCTTTCTTCACGGAACAGAAATGCGGGCTTGGGCAGTTCTGTTGGCAAGCACCCTGGAACGTGAAGGGCTTTCGTCGGATATGCAAAAATATCAAGCGTGGAGAAAGGCAATTGGAAAATGATTCAATTCAGACCCAATTTATATGATCTTCCGTCTCCTGTATCAATCCCGATCAAGGCTAAAACAGTAGAATTTAGCATTATTGTACCGTGTATTGTTTCCGAGTACCCCCAGTAAGATCTGCTCCGCACTTCTCGCATTTCTCTGCACCAGTTACGTTGCTGAACTTGCAACTGGGGCAAGTCTCGTAGTCGATGGGTTCGCTAGCGATTGTTGCAGCCATGTTGAATGATCTTCAGAGCTTAAAACGTTAGTAAACGAAATTGGTTTGGCAAAAGAGGGGTGCTTACGTAGAGGAGCAGTAATAAGCTCTCTTGATTTTAGGTTGTGAGGACAGTATGGCAAGCAAAGATTTGAGATGATTCTAACGATGAGTAGGAAATCGTGTTCTATTTATCTTTCGTATGAGATAGCAACTCGAACTTATTCCGGTGAACTGCTGCTGTATCGCGCCGTGATAGGCATTAGCCCGCGCATGGACTGTAACCTGTTCTATTCGACAGTAGCTGGGATAAGGGGGCATAGTTGCCGTAACCACACCTTCTCTAGTCGACGACCTACATGAGCGCCGTCTGGAACTGGTGCCGCGCTGCAACGTCAGCCCGCGGCAGCCTATGGCGGACATGGAGCCCAACATCCCTCACCTCGCCCGGGGGAGTCCATGTCTCGTCCTGTTGTCATGCGGGCTGGATGTGCGGCAGCGCCCTGCTCCTCAATCAACACGATCTAAGGCCTTCCGTACAACCAACCAACCGGGCCAAACGGCACAGCGAAAGCGCTTCGGCCAACACATTCCGCATGATCGTCAAACCGTGAAGGGCGCGTCAGCAGTCCGCCTCGCACGGCTTGTTAGCGGGTGGAGTAAACGGCAGATCATGCAGCTGCGGTTAATCCATTGGCGGTCAAAGACACGGTTGCGACCAGCATCGATATAAGACCGCAGGAATCCTTTAACGCCGGCTCCCTAGTAGCAAGATAGAGATTTAGAATTTTACAGCCTCTAGAGCAAGATTTATGCGCCTTAAAACCTCTCTTTAGCTAATAGGTATATAAGTAGTTAGTTTATAGCCTTACTATTAACATATCTAAGACTATAAAAGTCGCGCGTACTAATAGAAAGATATTTAAGTAGAGTACGTAGAAATAGTATTTTATTAGTAATAATTTTAAGAGATAGTATAACGTACTTTACTACTAAATACTCTATACTACTAAACGCCTTATAATTTCTTAGTAAGAAAAATTAATAAGAATATAATATACTTTATAAGCTATATAAGTAAGCTAGCTACTTTCTCTTAGTAAGAAAAATTAACGAAAATTAATCTATATTTCTTAAATAACTAAGTAAAACTTTAATATTTTTCTATAAAAATTTATATATATATTTTTTATAGTATATTATACCTTATATTAAAGTTATACTAAGATATATTACGTAATTATAAAGCTATACGTATTTAACTAACTTTTAAGAAAAAATCTATTTTACTTCTAGTAAGTACTATTATATCTCTATAATAATCTATAAAACTTATAGTATAAAGTATTTATAATCTAATAAAAGTTTCTAGAAAACTTTTCTAAAGCTAGCTCTTCTAGATATAGCGTAATAAGAGATAGAAATTAGAAAAATATTTTCTTTAGAGTTTTTTCTTCTAACTATAGATATATATAAATAATCTAGCTCTATAAACTTATTATTTTATATATTATAGTAGGTTTTAACTATATAAAGCTTATTTACTAAAAATATAGTAGCTTTAAGTAGTTATTTAAAAGTAAAGCTATTTTAGTAGTATAGTTAGAAAGATAAAAATATACTAAAACTTTTTTAAAATTATTACTTCTAAATTTATAGAAGACTTATAGTATATATAATTCTATAATATATAACTTTATATAGCTAGATTATTAATATATATAACTATAGTTAGAGAAGAAAACTCTAGAAAGATTTTTTTAAACTTTTATCTTTTATTACGCTATATCTAGAAGAGCTAGCTCTATAAAAGTTTTCTAGAAACTTTTATTAGATTATAAAAACTTTATACTATAAGTTTTATCTATTATTATAGAGATATAATAGTACTTATAGAAGTAAACTAGGTTTATTCTTAAAAGTTAGTTAAATATATATAGCTTTTTAATTATATAATATATTTTAGTATAACTTTTATATAAGGTATAATATACTATAAAGAATATATATATAAATTTTTATAGAAAAATATTAAGTTATTACTTAGTTATTTAAAAAAAATAAGTTAATTTTTATTAATTTTTATTACTAAGAAATTATAGATTATTTAGTAGAGTAACTAGTTTAGTAGTAAAGTACGTTATCTAAATTTTTATAGAAAAGTATTAAGGTTTTACTTAGTTATTTAAGAGAAATAAGTTAATTTTAATTAATTCTTCTTACTAAGAAAAAGTAACTAGCTTACTTATATAACTAGCTTACTTATATAACTAGCTTACTTATAAAGTACGTTAATTAGCTTAAAAAAGATAATAAGCTAATAGTATATTAGCTAGTACTTATAGAGTCTAAAGTTATTTAGCTTTAAGTAGCTAATATATAGAAAAAAAAGTATAATTTATATAAAAGAAAGTAAATTTAGAAAAAGAATACTCTTATAATTAAAGCTAGCTTATAGCTAGTTACTTAAAGAAAAACTATAGATTAGAATAAAAGTAAGAAGTAGTATAAAGAGATAGTAGTATATAGTAGCTAGCTAGCTTAGTAATACTATAGTTACTATAGTAAGCTAGAGTATAATATATAAATATACTAGATAGTTAAAGATAATATAGATAAGTTAGATAGCTTATCTAGATTTATCTTAAGTAGCTTAAAGTTAAAGTAATCTAAATAAGATAGTAGTATTTAGTAAAGACTTAGTATTTTTAGATTATTTATTTATATAATATATTTATTTATAAAGTATATTATAGAAATTTTTATAAAAAAATATTAAGATTTTACTTAATATACTTTATTATTAAACCGCCTATATTATTAAACTGCCTAAAAATACTAAGCTCTTACTAAATACTACTATCTCTATTATAAAGCTCTCTATAAACGCTTAATTAATCTTAGATAAATTCTAGATATAGCTTACGCTCTAGACTATTTAATAGAACCTAGAGCTAAGCTTATAACACGCTATAGCTCTCTATATTATGCCTTAGAAGCGCGTTTATAATTAATATAACAAAGTTACTCTATAACGCGAAAAGATATCTAATTAAATAAAGCTTACTATAAACAAAGAGTAGGTAATAGTTAAGTATATACTTAACCTAGATACGCGAGAATTTACTCTCTAGCTTACTACTATTTAAGATATAGCTAACAAGCTGCTTACTAAGTAGAGTAAGAAGGTAGTAGGCTAAATCTAGCTAAACTACTTTATTACGTACTATTCTAAGCTTAAAATATAGCTTAATTATAAGTATAACTATTAGAGAGTAAAGTAAGAAGATTCTATAATTATTTAGACTTAGTTTAATCTAGTAGGTAATATAAAGGCGAAGTATAGTATTACTAATAAAGATATATATAATTTTAACAAATCTAGCTTTATAATAGAAATAATATTACCTTAGATAGTAGTTACTAGCTCTAAGAGATAATCGCGACTAAAGAGCCTTTAACTAGGTAATTATAAGTAGATTTTAGTAATTATAATAGTAAGAGTAGTAGGTAATATATAGATTCTACTATTTCTTATTATTATAAGTAAGAACTACCTCTTAGCGTAGTATAAGAGTAGCTAGCTACTACGTAACTAGGTTATAGCTATCTCTAAGAGTAGCTAGATAATAAATAAGGTTAGTATTACGTAGTTAAAGTACTTTAACGCGTATACTAAGAATTATATTATAGGCGTATATTATCTACTAATTTTAAATAGCTATAAAAGCTATAGCTTAGTTAAATTCTAGTAGTACTATAAGAAGAATAAAATTATAGCTCTCTATATACTAGTATATTTATTATA